AAAATGTACATAACTTTTTATTTCGTGACTGATCTTATTCATGTCGCCATTAAAACAAAGCTTGCGCAACACGAGTTCGATGGTCTGTGAACTATCTCTGTCTATTAATCTCAACAAGAGCTAGAGGCACTGTATCAACTTGCCCCTGTAACAACTAGCCCCGGTCTCCCCTACTAGGTAAAATTATTTGAAAAAAAAAAAAGCTTCCTTAGATGTGAATATTGGAAGTTATTTTAGTTTGTCATTAGTGAATTTGCCTTTAGCTATTGAAAATGTACTTTAATGTAATTCAGCTAAAGAATTCAAAGGTCAATGGATTATCGTATACTGCCAATCTCTGTGGTATAAACCTTGATTTTGATATTGATGACTTTAACATTTAATATCTTCAATCCATGTAATTCACCATTTTTTTTCTTTTCCATGTATTTGTGAATAATTATCAGTCATTTCTACCTTATTTTTACTTGAGAAGTTTTAACTTTATTTATTCATTTGCTTTTTTAGTTCTTATTCTTGTTCCTCTATATTTTTACATTTTTATATGTCATATGTATGTAAGCTATACAAAATCCAGTTCCAAAGCATATTTCTCTTGCTCTTCTCTTTTTTTGGCTAATTTGTGTACCCTTCTTCTGTTACATCAAAAATCACATGAAGTAGCATGCAAACTGTTTTGTTGTCATGATAAACTATCAAAATACTAACATGAATTCACTTATGATTACAAGTCTGATTTTTTATTTTTTGTTTACTTTCATTTCACATCCGAAGAAGGCAATTCTTACTTCTGGAAGTTCTCTGCATATCACATTTTTAAAATTCTTTGTGTGCCAAAACCTAATTTCAGTTATTTGTATATTTTTTAAATATCTCTTTGTGATAACTCAGAATTGGAAATCTTTGAAAATGAATACGATTTAATTGGCAAAGGAATTTTTGCAATTAAAATATAAAACTGAGATTAAAAGTTTGTTTCAGCTATTTTAGGCCTTCATATTCTATGAATAAGACAGTGCTAGTTTCAGATTTTTTATAGCTTTTAATAACTATTCTAAATTTAACTTAACTGTAAGGTATAGGACTATAATGCTTTTGTTAGTATCTACTTTATATTGGTGCAATTGTTATTAGAATTATTGTAAAGAAATGCTAGTTAGCAATAAGTCTAATCTTATTCAAAAATTCTTCTTTATAGAACCTAGGACTCAACAAGGTCATCAAGAGAATTCTACAAGCTAAAAGAAATACTAATTCCTACATACAAACAGAAAAATGTTTATTTTTTAGCAATTATAAAAAATTACTCATTTTTACATGAACTGTAGTCTGTGTTTTAAAAATTGTGCCAAAATGTGTAAGTTTTTATAAGGTTTCATTTTTATAATAAAAAGAAGTTTTCATTATTTAAACTTCACTATGATCTCAAACAGAAGAAATGTTTGGAGACAAAAAAAGGGAGAACTACTGAAGTTTTAAACTTTTGCTGCTTGTTAAAAAGACTTAAGTTCATCAATTTTTGTCCAAGACGATATAACATATAGATTGCTGAAGAACCAATATTGTTGAGAAAACTTTCAGAGAACGATGTGTTGTGTCTAACCAGTTGTATATATGGAAAAAAGAGAGAGAAAAAATAAATGTAAAAGTATAACCTTTTTCTTCAACTGTTAGTGGTTTTGTAGCTTCAGTGGCGATTCTAATATCACATGTGTTAAAGTAAATTGTAACATCTAAGAGTAATGAAGTTGCAGTTGAAGAAAACATTTAGTTTAATATATTTTTCTTTATAATTGTTCTAGAAATAAACATTTGAATGTTGATTTAAATTTGTATATATGTATCTATAAATACTTATAATATTTTAATTTTAAAAAGCTTGGGTGTTTCCCCTAGTCTAGGTGCAAACTAAGTGTTTGTTTTAACTATAGCTATTTTTATCAGTGATTTACGTTAGATATGTACAAGGTGAATAGAAAATGTTATACAAATTGAGTAGTTGTGGTAAGTAATGTTGATGTCTAGTGTCTTATTAGAAACTTTGCTTTCTAATCTTTGTAGTAAGTTTACTTAGTGTGGATGTCTATGCATCCTACTGTCAACTACATGAGTGCTCTTTAGAAGTCAGATAACAAGTCTCTCTCTCTGTTACTTATTTTTGCAAGTTTGCTGTAATGACACGTGCTTGCCTGAACATTTGGAAGGCTTTAATATTGTCTTTCACCAGGAACATACAGTACAAACTCTGTTAAAACTATTAAGTTTAGAGTAGATTATTTAAAGCTATAATTAGCTGTGAAGCTCCCCACTTGAAATAAAAGTTCAATTCCACAATCATGTGTTAGAATATGATTATTGATCATTTAAATCAAGTTCATGTATTTAATTTTAGTCGTGATCTTTTGAAAAACAACTTGATAAAATTAAACCACATGTAGCATAGTAATCATTATTGTATAATTTTTTAGGGGTTTATATATAAAAAATGTATATATTGTAGAATATAAGGACATTTATGTTGTTATGATAATTTGTAACATACAGCTACATAAAGTTTTGAATTTAAGTTTTTATGACCAGTCTCAGGTATCATTATAACACTCCCAGTACGATTGCCTGAGTTTTGTTTAACATCACTAAGTTTATTTAAATCCTCCTAGTACTGAAAATTTTTTCATTTAAAAAATTTTTACTCTTGTGAGATTTTGCTTTGAATGTGTTTGCTTGTCTGTATTACATTGAGGTAATGTCTTTCAACCAAGAGGTAATAATTCTGTAATCTGTTCTGTGCAAATCTTCTGTACTCATACTGTTACATCGAGTTATTGTTTAATCTCTATGTATCACATGATTGTATTAATTTTTCTTCTTGTGTGTATTTCACTTTGAAAATATCTGTTGTATCTTTAAAATAATTCTTATAGACTTTTTGTTTTCATCATGCTGTACAGAGTAAATGTTGTTGTGTCATTTGTTGCCTCTGACTTTTCAGCTGCTCAGCAATAAGTCTGAAGACTTCTGCTAAAATCGAGTTTCGATATCCGTGGTGGGCAGAGCACAGATAGCCTATTGTGTAGCTTTGTGCTCAACAACAGATGAACAAAATACAAACTGACTACCCTATATTAAGTAGTACATATTACTGCTATGCAAATTTACTCTTTCTAAGAAGTTTTGAAGTGATCATTTTGCTTCTTTTTTTGAATGTAAAATGCCATTCATTATTCAAGGATGATATGAAAATCTTTTAGGTCCACTAGTTACAATTACCTCACATTATAATCATCTACATTACCATGTTTTCTGTAAAGTTCTTGTTGCTTATAGTGGTAGATTGTGCAACTGAAACTAGATAAAATAGTCAAAACATTGGTGTGTGGAGTACTTTAAGATATTTTTTTTAAATTCTACAGGCTAGTTATCAGCATACTCAGTGTATTAAAATTTATCTAGGTGTGAAAGATACAAGGTACTCCACATGTTTTACCTGTTACTGTTTTTCAATTCTGACTTTATAGTATATATTGATATATAGAAAAAGCTTAGTCGAATATAGTTTGTTTACACCTCGAGACAATCATTAACTGATGCACTTTTCCTCTTGTTATTGGAATTTTTTATATATATCTTGAAATTGTTGTAAAAATATTTATATAATATCTGTTTGATTATGTGTTACTTTAGTATATATATAAATGCATGTATAACCATAACTACTTCACATTCCTCTTATTTTTAAAATGTTCAGAAATTTCCAAGTGAAGTTTAAGAATTTTGAAGAGTTTATTAACAGAACCTGTTCATTTGTAATTAATAAGTTAAAACTTTATTTAGGCTTAATGTTTTTATTTAACTTCATTGTAAAGGAAATGATGCAAGTTGAAGTTCAGCGTTCTAAACTCTGTAGATATTCTTTTGTTCAGAACTCCTCTATTAAAGCACTTTTTTTATCCAATATTTTCTAAAAGTATGTACAATTGAATAATATAGTGTTTTACAGAAATTTTATTAAAAATGGATGACGAGTCTTATGAAAAATGTTTTCTCTTAATCTAAACTAATGGGGTTGTTGTTGGACAAGATAATGAACAAAATATAGATGATAGTCTTTGATTAGTTTGTTGGCAGATGAAAAGTGATGTTGTTTGATAGGTTAACAAACATGAGAAATAGACAAGTCTGATAACAAAAGTACTTCTTTGTTGGTCATAAATAGTTGATGATGTTATAAAGTTTAACAGGATAATTAATAGAATATATGTAGTTGTGTTTGATGAAAAGATGGTAATTCTTAAATTGTTATTAACAAAAATAAAATACAAGCTTTAAGATCAAAATGTATATTTTATTATAAAATGTGATGATATGGCAATTTGATATGATAATTAGCAGAATATAAACGTTTATGTGTGAAAAGATGGCTACCAGGAGAAAGATGGTAATGCTTGACATTGTTATTGGCAAAAAAAAAAGCAAATACAAGCCATGTAATAAAACAGTATATGTTATTATACATATTTGAATATGGCAGAGTTTAACAGGATAATTAGTAGAATATTGTTATAGCTGGTTATATTTGAAAAGATGCTTTGTAGATGGAAATTCTTAACATTGTTATTAGCAGAAATAAAATACATAGTTAACAATGATAATGTATACTTTATTATAAACAAGTGAAGATAAGTTAAGTGTTTGATAGGGTGAGTAAATGAAAAAACCATGTTGGTGTTTCACTTGTAGTAAAAAAAAAACATTGAGAGCTATAACATTTAACATAGTGAATTATGAAAAAAGTTGTTGCTTGTATTTTTAGTATGTGAGGTGTAATTGAAAAACAAAGTTTAGAAAACAAGAGACTCAATTTTGAGGATCTTTAAGTTTTGGAAACAAGATGCATTTACCTGCATAGTTTCTGTTTACACCTTTATCACTTTATGGCATTGTTTTAAATACATCTTTTATTCAAAAAATACACAACAAATTTTTAATATTTTTGTCTGAACTAAACATTTATGTAAAATTATATTAATAAATAGTTAAGGTGTTTTCCAGTACCACAAATATTAATAAACTTATTCTTGATATATTTTGGAGGATGTGAATACATTACTTAGTTAGGTGTACTAGTTGTTAAATCTTGTCTTCTTTTGATGTAGTAAAATTATGATTTCCTAAACATTAATAAAACAGTCAAGCATTTTAATTTTTGTGTGAAAATAATAGGTCACTTGGAAGTGGAACTGGCTCTTGATTTTTTAAAATATGACTACATTGTTACTACAAATGAGAATATTTTTTACTTAATATAAATAAGCATATAAATATCAAACTTTCACAGAGTACAAGTCTAAGTCTTCTGGACCAATATGGATTTGTTTTTGGTAAAGAAGAAAAATTATCACCGTGTGTGCTTCCAGAAGACTGCATTTGCAGCTTGCAGGAAGCATGTTGAAGTGTACAGGGTTTCCAGAAATTATACAAATAAATGTGTTAATATTTATTTCTGAATTTGTTGAAACTCCTGACAGCCCATTTCATGTTGTAACGTACATCTGTTGGTCTAGTAGCCATTGTGTCAGATTCTAGTCTTTGGAATACAAGTAAATAATTTTGTTAACTTGATTTCCAAACAACCAGTAAACACTTGTAAGATCCCTGGACAACAGACAATTTTAACTACACTCTGGCTATGAAAGTAAAAAAGAATATTCATTGTGCAAATGTGCAATGTTTTTTTATCTATTCTGTTTAAAATTATTTCATTTTGTCCCTTACCATGACTTATAGGGTCAATGATGTGAACATAAATAACATGTGGTTGGACACTACATGGATCAGTTTTCTGTTGCAATATGCAGTAAGCAGCTGCATGATGACATGCACACACACTAATTTAAACATGCATACATTTAATTAAATAATATGGTTTATATTTACATTCATTTTGTGTTATAGACAAGTACTGTGCAGAACAAAGTCACATTAGGTCACCATTGTAAACAAGGTGACATGTAGTTGATTAGTATGGTTTCTATGCCCATTTTATTTTGTATTAATATTTAATATTATCCATTACAAAGACTCTTTAAGATACCAGTGAAAACAAGAACAGTATTTACTTCATTAATATGATTTCCATTGCAATATATTTTAAGTTGGCCATTGCCAGGATTTATCAGATAACCAGTGTAAACAATGATAACATTTCATTGTTTACAGCGTTGGGCATTCTCAATGCGTGTTGTGGACATCGTGTCTGATGCTGGTGTTTAGGTATAGTGCTCACGAAGCCCTGGTGTTGCTGCAGTGGCCTTGTTTGACATTGTAGTGCATCCTCTCGTAGGACTCCATGGCAGGTGGGGTCAGTGGGCACTGAATCTTTTTCTTTTATTATGGATCCCTTCAATCCCAATAAAAAAGTGTAAAAACTCTGCTAATTGGTAAACGACCACACCTAAAAGACTGAACAGCAGTCTCCATCACAATGTGGACCTGTACTTGGCTTTCTGATCTTACATTCAATATCCGATAAATCTTTAGGACAAATGTCTCCCTTTTTTATTCAGAAGGGTTTAGAGGGGCTTGCTGGCTCTCCAAAGTCAGTTAAGAAGACATTAAGACATCTTGGTTGAAACATCCACAGCAAAGCACAGTGAACTTCTCTTGAATTCAGAGGCCATTGGGGATATACCCATTGAGGTTACTCCCCACGCTTCTTTGAATTTCTCACGAGGAGTTATTGTTGAGAGGGACTTAAAGTCTATCCCCGAGTCAGAGATCCTTGCTGGTTTCTCCAGCCAAGGAGTTTCAGCAGTTCGAAGGATCTCCATTTGTCAAGATGGTATTATGGTGCCGACCTCAGTTCTTGTTTTGACATTTTCATCACAACGTCCACCTGCCACTGTTAAGGCAGGTTATTTGAACTGTAAGGTACGGCCCTATATTCCCAACCCTCTCCAATATTTTCAGTGCCAGCGGTTCAGTCATTCGAAATACCTGAAGCTGATAAATTTTACAGCTGGGAAGTCATTGTAGCAGAGTTGCATCTACCATTTAATCTGGTAGAAAACCAAGCCAGTAATTGGGTGAAATTCAAGGCTTGTAAATGTGGTGCCCACAATAATTCAGATGTATGTGACACTGAGCTGTTGCACTTACACAGAGATGCATACTCCAGAATGGAAGCAGCAGTCTGAGAGGATATTTTGGTTGTTAAGTTTTTGGAGTCTGTAAGGCACCAGTTGTAACTTTGATGAAGTTGCTGGAGTAAAAGGTTACTGCAGCTTGTAACTGTAGTAGCTCCTCCAGAAATACACCACCTGAGTGTGCCAAATCCCATATTACAGGAGGTCACAATATGTGGGACCATGTCTTCAGATGCCATATAGTAATTTGGTTCAGCCATTTGGCAACAATATTGTGAATCTTCTGTACCAGCTGTGCTGATGATACAGATGGGGTGGCACCTTGATCCATGGATAAACATATAAATGTGTTATAGTTGTGGACATTTTAGTTATTTCTGACATAAATTTCCTTTTCTTGTATCTGCAAAAGAACCTAAACATCCTCAAAATAGGCCAACCAATTGAAAGCAGGCTCAAAAGGTCAACAGGCTATAAATGCTGTCATGTCTCCTAATCTAACCCTTTCCAAACTGGGGTATGTGTGTTTGTCTCGGTTTGGAACAGTTGGTGATACGTGCAGTGTTAGATTCTGGTATATCACACTTTTAACTTTTTGTCTAAATTTCAGCAGTAAATTACAGTTTTCTTTGTTTGGTGTGTATATTTTAAAGAATGATTCCTTTTTTCAAACCCAGTATCCAGTTAAAGGACAACAGAATTATGGGCCAACCAGTAAGTGGAATATATTTGATGACACATTTTACTGTGATTAAATATTTTTTAATTTGTTCACTTGTGTTTCTTTCCATTGCTGAGTTTTGATTTCATGTATACTTTGAAACTTTTCCACTGGATGTCATTTAACCCAAGTACCACGTTTGGTGGCCAATTTTTTTACAATAGCAGCATCATTTTCAGCATTAAGTGGAATCCAATTAACTCATTTTCAAGCTAATTTGCAGACTGGTTTGATTAATATTGAGAATTTATATGAATTTTAAAAGCTTCCTTGTGCTCAAATGAAAACATTAATCATGTTTCTGAACCATATTTTATGATGTAAAAGAAATGTATCAATGGCAGTTTCTTCAAGGTGTTGCATGTAATTTTTTTCAGCCACTGGAGATAAGAGTGGAATTATTGGTGATCTGTTATTCATTTTGAAGTAGCAATTATTCCACAGAAAACAGTATCCAAACATAGGTCTAAAAGTTTCATAATAACCTGCACTGAAAGTTTGGTTCTGAGGTTTCTGAATCTAATAAGATTTTTATTACAGGATTTTTGTAAAGATTGATACAACATTGATGCTTATCATAATCCCCATAATCTCATTATTTGTTGTAGTTTTTCTCCTCATTTCAGAGGATTTAGTTTAATTTCTTATAGAATGTAGAAATAGTGAAAGGTTTTAAAAGATTGGTGAAGACTTTTCTGCTTATGTAAACTGGTGAGCTTATGTAACACATAATGGGATGAAGGAGGGATGTTAGGCTCCTGGAATTTTGGTAATCCATAAAGTTCAGAGGTAGTAGCAAAATGAGAAGATAATTGTTAATAGTTCCTCATTTTTCTAGTTTTTGTTTGACAGGTGATAATGGGTCTTGCTATAGTTCAGAATATATTGGTTCAGATAAAAGGAGAGAGATTTCTTATTTATTTAGAATTACTCTCCCATCACCTTTTTCAACTGGTTTTATTACAATGCCCACTTCTTTTAAAAGCATTTTGTTTATCCTTTGCAATGTTAGTTTGGATATTGCTTTTTCTGTGTTCTAATGCATGACATATTTTGTAGCATAACTCATTGGCCTTATAATCACAAATTTTTATCTGCAGCTGTAAGGTCAAAGTATGGAATCTTGTTTAGTTTTGTAATGAAATTTAAACCAAGAGATAACTTGCTTTTAATATAGTGAGAGGGCATTACTACAGTCTATTTAATGTTTTGTTTTCTCTAATCTTAATCCTATCATGTTTCAATTCAGTCATAAAATGTTTGGATTTGTTTACCTGATGCATTGGTGTGTAGGAATATTCTTTCATATTGTTACGTCTCCGTTCGTTAGTTAATTTTCCGGAAATTCGTTCCGACGAAACTTTAGCGACACAAG